TTAGCCTATTTGAATTTAGATAAGTAATCACTGAGTTTATAATTTTTTCTTTTTTATTATAATTTAGTCCATTAGAGACTAAAATATTACTATCTTCGGTGTTGATAAGTTTGTAAACCCTATTGCTTATTGTATCTGTTTATTATATTTCATATAGAAGCTGGTTATTTTAGAACTGATAATATGAACCATGTGAGATTTTTATTGGAAAGTTATGTCTAAAAAAATATAGTATATGAGATGTATTTGATATAAGTAGATTTCCCTAATATGAACTAAAACAGATTCTAAACTTGAGACTATGGTTATTGGTGGCTTAACTGTTCATTTTTCAGTAACGTTAATTTTCTCTTAAACAGGGAGAGGACATTAAGTGTAACTGGACCAAAAGACTTCACCATTGGACTTCTGTAATAAGCCTGCATGAACTGCTTATTTCTTAAGCAACTCTTGAAGAACTGGTCATTTTGAGACAGAACTACAGTGTCAATATCATGCAGTAATGGGTGCAGTGGAGTTGTTAACCTTGCTCTAAAAGAGCATGAACTAAATCTTAATGTTTTGTATAATGCCAGCACTCTGTGGGTGCTCAGGTAATTGGCCAGGAGCAGTGGTTTATGGTTTTATTTTTTTTTTTTTTTGGAAGCCTATCTGAATTTTTAAAATAAAACTTTTTATTCCTTTAAGTTATTTAGAGCCGTGTTTATTAAACTAAGCTAAACCTCTTTTTAAGCTAAAAGGAAAAAATAAAGCTTAAATCCAGTAGATTGAAAATACAAAAAAGACTTTGTTTGCATCTGTTACTAATCTTTTAAAATTGACAAGTAGTACTTAAAAAATAACATCCTGTTTTTTTATGTGAGGAAACATGGTGCCCTTTATTGTGTTTCTCTCTTTTACTTTTTTAAAGAAAAGTTTATTCTTTTTTGTGTGTACTGTCAAATCAGACAGCATCTGGTAGATTTGAACTGAGTACCTCTGGAATTGCAGTGCAGCTTCAGAGACTTAGGGTTTCCAGTAATTCATTGTTGCACTTTTGTCCCTGATGTTTCCCTTTTTTATATTAATGCATTATAAATACTATATAATATTTGAATTATAAAAGCAATTTTTCTTAGGAAGTAGTTAAGTGGAAAATAGTAGTACAAATCTATTAAAGTTGGAATGTCTGTTTAAGTGAGCTACAATTCAATAAATTTCTGAAGAAACATGTCCTTTTTCTCATTCAATGTAGATATACTGAAATTTTTACTAGATGTTCTTGTATTTAAAAAAAAAATACTCCAAAGCTTTAAGATGTTATTCACCTTGTCTGATGGCCTACTACATGTTCAAATTTCTGGACATGGATATTAATGAATAAAATTGATTATGGTCACTCTGGTTAGTATCGTTTTTAGTAGTTAAAGAAATAACAAAGCTAGATGCAATATCATGATGTATTGCCTCCCCACATTTAAACACCCTCCCATATATTACTCCTGAAAGAGAATGCTGCTGCTTTATTTTGTTAAATTTTTTAGTATGCTTTACCTATGTCACAAGGTGCTGTAGTGTTGAGCTGCTTAACTGAGAGTAGTAGAAAACCACTAGTCACTGAGGGTTTAAATCTCCCACAGTGAAGGTACACCATGAGTTGGAATCATCTTGAAAGCAGTGGGTTTTGTTTTTGATATGCATAATTCTTGAAAAGAATAGCATAGAATATTGCTTGTATATCAGTGTTTTGAGTTTTAATTGTACTCTAATACAGTTGCAGAATAAGAGGATCTGGAAATAAATGAAATGAATAATATGCAAACTACTCTTTCATAGGGAGGAGTTACGCATTTATACCTTTGGAAGAGGCAAAGTATTTAATTCAGACAATACAAAGATGGTAGTTTTCAGTGGGAGTTGGCAGAATTTGGTTTGAAGTAGATAATTTACTTTTTGTGTATATGTGCTTATGTTTATGCATATGTGCACACACAGGTGTGCCAGATGAATGATAGCTTGTGTCCCAAGGGCAAATAGCATAACATTTCAATGGGTTTTTTTTTTCTTTTTAAAGTATTTTAAAACAATCTAAAATAGAAGTGGTGGAAGGAAAGTATAAGGGAAGACAAATCACTCGATATTTGAAATTTGTTCTTAGGTTTGTGTCGGGTCATTGGCTTTGTTAAACTTTTATTTCTGCATTCTTATTTTTCATTTTTCTTCCATCTAGTGACTCTTAAGTTTCTTTTGAGGCAGGTAGTTTTCAGGCAAGTATCTTGTCTACGATGATAGATGCATTCTAGTTGGGTATGATTGATAGCAACCCTATGAACAAAAGAGCTGAACACTGCCTTATCCTGTGCCATCCTCATTATCTGTGATATATAAACAAAAGCATATTTAAAAGTTTAATTTTTTTTTATTTTCTATACTGAGTGCAAAAGGAAAAGAAGTCTTAAAAAAATCCCACAGCTTATACATACCTTGAGGATTGTCAATAGGATCCAGTCAAAACCGATATTGTCGTTAGTCAAGAAATCAAAGGATATTTATTGAGGAAAATCTGTCAAGAGTCTTTCCAAAGTGCTAAAGAGCAAGGATGTTAAAGACTTAACACGTGTGTAATCTAAGTGATGGTCTTTTCAGTTGCTTCGTATCCATCTGAAAGTTGGACAAAGAATAAGGATGGCAGAAGAAGCAATGCCTTAGAATTGTGGTGTTGGCAAAAAGTAATATAGATTGCCAAAAGAACAAACAAATCTGTCTTGAATAAAGTATAGCTAGAATGCTCCTTAGAGTCAGGGATGGTGAAAATTGGCCTCATATACCGTGAGCTTGGTGTCAGGAGGAGCTATTGCTTGGAAAGAAGCAGCATACTTACAGGAGAGGTGGATAGTCAGTAAAAGGAAGATCTTCAAGAACTTGAATTGACATAGTGACTGTGTGGGAGATTGTGGGCCTGGTGCAGGACAGAGCAAGGTTCAGATCTGTTGTTCGAGTTGCTATGAGTAGTAGCTCAATTCTGCATGACAACATGCTTCAGAGATTGTGGATTTGCTTCTAGATCCCTGTAAGTGAATATGGCCATAAAGCAATTTGCAAATTTTCTGTCTTCCCGGTGCATGTAGAAATTATGTTTATACTTCATCATACATAGTCAATGAAGTGAGGACATGCTGCTAAAAAATTACACTCAGAGACTTTCTTGACACAGGATTGCCACACACTTTCTGCCATCTGCAATAAAGCAATATTCAGTAGAACAAGGTATGCAAATATATTTTTAAAAGAGTTTCTGTTTGCTTTGGGATCATGTAAGGCCACTGGAATATTGAGATGTTGTTGTTGTTATGTGCCGTCGAGTCGCTTGCGACTCAGCGACCCTATGTACAGCAGCCCTAAACTCCGCTCTGTCCTGTGCCAATCACACTGTCTCTGACATTCCCATCCCAATTATCCCAGTCACTGAATCAATCCACCTCATAGAGGGCCTTCCCCTACTGCGCCGTCCCTCCACCCTCCCAAGCATGAT